ACAGCTTATTTTTCATGACGGTGCAGGAAAAATTCAATGGCAGGTGATATTTATTTTTAATAACTGTTGGAACAAATGGTTAAAAAAATGAACTTCAACGCTCATAACTTATATCAATGTGGATTCAAAATGGATCATGAATTTAAATGTAGATACAAAATTTTAAAAGAAAATTTGGGGGAGCTAAGGCTGCGTGATGGTTCTGGATATGACAAAAGGATAATCCATAGAAGAAAAATATTATCAAGCAGATTTCATCAACATGTAATTATTTTCCCCGTGAAAGATCTTGTCAAGAGGATGGGAAGATGAGCTACATTCTGAGGGTGGGGTTGTGGGAATCTTTGCAAAAAACTTGGGTCTAAATACACAATTCCCCAAACTCAAGTCTGAAAGCTTGTCATGCTGTGTTGACTAGTATGTTGTTCTAATATTATACCATTGGTATTTCAAACAGGGTCACTTTTGGTGGGCAGGTTACAGGCAAAGCTTCCAGACTAAGCAGAAAAATCTGGCAATCTACTTCTGTTGATTAGCCAGTGAAAACCTTATATAATCGTATACAATAGAACCTTCTACAATTGATTTGCTCTGGACATATCATTTCAGTTGCTGGAGGAGGACATTATGTTTGGTGAAGTGGTGACCAACAAGGGCATAGGGAACTCAATGAGATAGATTGGCACTGGCACAGAAACCTTAACAATGAACCCAAACATGTTGGCATTTATGATCATGCAGAGCTAGGCAGTTGTTCGTTAGGTTTTGTGCCAACTTGACTAAGCCAAGATTCTCAGTGGTTTTTCAGTTAAGGTCTAGGAAACCCCCATGATATAATCAATGTAATCAACTATATAAAGAGATCTTTGGTGAGCATCCAATCAGTTGTAAGATTAGGGTGGGGCTCAAGTCAGGTCACATCCCTGATTCAACCAAAAAGAAGTTTCCTCAGGGGTGTGTTCTGCTTCTAATACAAATAGAAGCTAGGGGGTGGCAGGGGAGCTTGCTTTGCTTTTAGTTGGATCTGGATCCAGCATCAGGTTCATCGATCTCTAGTTCTTTGAACTTGAACCACTGGTCTGCCATATTGTCTGCTGGTCTTGGGAGTTGTCAGTGCTGTCATCAAACCTTGGATTCATTTGTCTCTGTATAGTCACTGGCATGTTGCCTTCCTGCCAGTCTTAAGTTCAATGTGGGACTCAGAAGAAACCACCAGCTTAACTTCTGACCCATGAACTTTAAAGCTACTCAGACTTGGACTTGCTCACGTCTACAACTATGTCAGCTATTTTCTTGAGATAAATTTCATTTTATAAGTGGGAGGGTGGGGAAAAAGAGGAGCTCATACCAACAGCTCAAGCAGAAAGAAAATGTTTTAGAAATGATGATGGCAACAAAGGTAAAAATGTGCTTGATAGAATTGATGTATGGATTGTTATAAGAGCTGCAAGAGCTTGTTTTAGTCTGGGTAGACTAGAGAAACAAATCCATGGACACACATATGTGTATAAGAAAGAGATTTATATACAAGAGCAATTGAACATTGAGAAAACATCCCAGTCTAGTCCATATCA